GTTTCTGTGGTTCTCTTTTGGGTCTGCTCTTCTCTGCTCTTACTGATGAGCTGGCTGTCCTTAGCCTATGCTTGAATTTGCCAGGTTTTTTTTTTTTTTTTTCCCCAGTAAAAGTTAATATGATAAAGGTATTTTTTTATTTTAAAAGTAATGTCACTTCATATAAATACCTGTACTTAACAAGTGGTCTGTATATGAATATATAGTGGTAATTTACTTATATAAAGTAAATAAATATCAGGACCATAAATTGTAACAAACAAACTGTTCAAGTCTTCCTCCCAAAATGCTTTTTTTCTGATTGTTTTCTATTCTGTTGTCTTTCCCAGGCAAGTACACTTTTTTATCTAGTTGGAATTATGTTGTGCATGTAAGTGTTTAAGGTAAGATCTCTCTGTGTTGTCCAGGCTGGCCCCAAACTCCTAGATTCAAGTCATCCTCCTGCCTCAGCCTCAAATAGCTGGTACTACAGGTGCACACCAGAATGCTTGGCTCAATTTTTATATTTTGCTGTTGTGAAATCCCTAAACACCATAATGTAAATTCCTAAATAAGAAAAACGATCAACATCAAACGATCATATTTGTTATCAAACATGGGTTGATAACACTAAGGAGCTTTGCCAGCTTTTGGATGAAAAAAATATCAGAATCGAAATAAAAAAACAGACATGAATAGTATTTTCCACAGGTGAAATAAAAATGGTTAATTAACCATGAAATACAGGGCTGGGGATTTAGATTAGTGGTTCCACCACCTGTCTTGCAAGCACAAGGACCCGAGTTTGATCCCCAGTACTAGAAAAAAAAAAAAAAAAAAAGAATTTATGGGCCGGGCATTTAGCTCAGTGGAAAGAAAGAAAGAAGGAAAGAAAGGAAGAAAAAACATGAAATATAATCAGTTTTGTTACTGAAAGCATTTCAAATTAAAGCAAGGAAAGCATGTTGGCACATACCTGTAATCCCAGCCTTGGGGAGGCTGAGGTAGGAGGATCACTGAGTTCAAGGCCAGCCTGGGCTACATACTGAGTTCAAGGCCAACTTGAACTACACAGAGAGACTCTGTCTCAAAAAACAAAAAATCAAAAAATTAAAAATAAATTAAAGGGGCCAGGGATTTAGCTCAGAGGTTCCACTGCCTGCTTTGCAAGCGTAAGGACCTGAATTAGATCCCTGGTACCAAAAACAATTAAAGCAAGGATACCATTTTCCCTGATCATGTTAGCAAAGTTTTTTTTTAATGATTCTATTACTTGTTGAATAGGATGTATGCAAATATTCTAGAAAGCAATACATAGCAGAGGCTATATATTTGCTTGTTAATATATTTTCATTCCATTATATCCCATATATATGTTCATTATATTTTTTTTCCTTGTGAACTTCTTTTTTATATTTGATTTTTTTGTTTGTTTGTTTTTGGTACCAGGGATCGAACTCGGGTCCTTATGCTTGCGAGGCAGGCAGCAGAACCACTGAGCTAAATCCCCGGCCCAATTGTTTTGTTTTGTATTTTGTTTGTTTTTTTGTCCTTTTTGTATTAGAGACAGTCTCATTATGCAGTTCAAGCCTTGAATTCATTTATGGGATTGTATGAATATTCAATTCTATTTATTTCTGATTTCTTTGGTTTCAAAAATATCAAAGTGGGCAGGGCGTGGTGGCACACACCTGTAATACCAGCACTTGGGAGACTGAGGAAGGAGGATCACAGTGAATTTGAGGGCCAGCCTGAACTACAAAGTGAGATCGTGTCTTTAAAAAAAAAAATTAAAGTGGAGCCAGCTATGGTGATGCATGCTTGTAATCCCAGCACTCCAGAGGCTCAGGCAGGAGGATTGACACAAGTTTGAGGCCAGTTTGGGCTACATAGTGAATTCAAGGCTAGCCAGAACTACAAAGTGAGACCTTGTCTCCAAAAAAAAAAGAAAAAAAAATTAAGTGTAATTCTGTCTAGAATTTATTTTGATTCTTAGGTTGAGTTTCTCCCTTTTTTGTTTTCTCAAAACTTAACAATGGTTATTTTGACATTTGTTGATGAATCCTTTCCTTTCCCAACTTATTTGTGAGGCCTCCTTTAGCATACATTAAATTATGACATTGAACTTTCGAACTCTTGTTTTCTTTCTACGATCTATTTTTCCTTTTACCCTCTTTTAATTAATTAATTCATGTATTTATTTATTTATTTTGGTACTGGGAATCAAACTCAGGACCTTGTACTTGCAAGTCAGGCAGCAGCACCACCGAGCTAAATCCCCTTCCTCTTTTAATTGTTATGGCCTTATATCAATTATAATCTCACTTTATTTTTTTATCTTTTTTTTTTTTTCGGTATTGGTGATCGAATTCAGGACTTTGTGCTTGTGAAGCAGGCAGTGGTACTACTGAACTAAATCCCCGGCCCTCACTTTATTTTTTAATCTTGGCCTTGCTTGCATATTCTGCTGATTGAACTTTAAAACCATCTAGCTGGGGATTTAGCTCAGTGGTTCCGGCGCCTGCATCGCAAGTGCAAGGTCCTAAGTTCGATCCCTGGTACCAAAAAACAAAACAAAAACAAAAAAAAAAATTCGTTTCATTTAAAAAGCCAATATGAGTGTGGTAGTGGCCTCCTGTAGTACCAGCTACTCAAGAGAATGAAGCAGGCAGATCATAAGTTCAAGGCCAGCACAGGCAATTTAGAGATACCCTGTCTCAAAGATGAAGCAAAATATTTAAAAATGACTTTTTGGCTACTTTTCTTCTGTGGCGGTCAGAAACATTTCCATTCTAATTAGCTATGTCGTATATTGTTGTTGCTGTTGTTGCTGTTTGGTTGCTGGCATGTAGAACTATTGTTGCATTTTTTTCTGTTTATTTCAGTTAGCCATTTTGCTTGCTCCTTACTTCCTGTCCTTTGTTAGACTGTGTGCTTTGTTTTGCTGTGCGCTTTTGAGCTTATGCAGTCATTTCATTTGCACATAATTATCATTTTGCCTGTTTCTAGTGTCTGTGTTTTCTATTCCATTGGCCAGAACATTCAGGACCATATTCAGGGATGCTGCTGGTCAAAAGCATCCTTATTTTGCTCTTTGCTTTAAAGAGACAGCTTTGCTGCTTCTTGATGCTCCCTGCGGGTGTGATGAGTGAGATCTGTCTGCTCCTGCCCAAAGGGGCCGGTGTACTTCAGAACAGCCGCAACAAAAACACTTCTCTAGCCCTTTGTATTAGGCACAAAGTGCCAGGGTTCATTGTGTGAAAGTACTGCTCTTTGTAGAATCCCCAGTTTGCCCCAAACTCTGAGCTACAGCACTGGTCCAGTTCCAGAGGAGCCTTGATCTCTGTCTTCTGAAGCCCAACTTTGGGGCATCTGTTCCTCCCCTATGGGATGTGGCACTGTCTTCTGCCAGGCCTCCTCTCTGATGGAAGAGCAGTCTGGCACTGGACAAGTGGCATGGCCAAGGCCCAAGAGGAGGCATTCACGTCTGCTGACCTGTGCCCCATAGAGGAGCCCCATGCACATTTCCCTGGCTGTCACCAATACCCCTGCCTTGCTCCCAAGCCTGCTGGACTTCTGGCACTGTACCCGAGGGTCTTCCCAGTGCTGAGAGGGGCTAAGAGAAGCCAGGTGATGAGGTCTCACTCACACTTTTATGAATCACAGAGGTGAGAGCAGCAGCTGCTCAGGACAGTCAGGGAAGACATCCTGGAGGAGGTGACAGGTGACATTTGAACTGGGACTTAGAGCAAGCATAAAAATTCTGTGGGACAACTGAGGGAGAAGGGCTGCAGTTATGATCATTTCCATATACTTTGCATTATTGCTGCTACTGGGAATAGGACCTTTAAAAATTGTATTCCATGTTTCCCTCAAAATAAGACCTAACTGGAAAATAATCAACCTTGAAAACTAAAGATCAAAAATGCAATCACTGCTCTCTTGCTCAGTGACTACTCTGTAAAGCAGGTAAGGCTGATTGGGGGCTGGCATTTTTTATCACACACACACACACACACACCTCTCCCTCTACACATGTGTGTGTCTCCGTTTGTGGAGATATAATTCACGTAATACATGACTCTTTCATTAAAGGTTACTATTCAGTGGCTTTGATATATAGTGTTGTGCAACTATCACCACAATCTAATCTAATACTTTCATTTCTTTCACAAAAAGCCACCTGCCTCTGCGCCATCACCTCCAAGACCCCCTCCCCTGTACTCCTAGTCTGCTTCCTGTCTTTAAGGTTTGCCTCTTCTGGACATTGGCCGGTGTGTCTTGGCATCATGTGTTCAGTCTGTCTGTGATGTAGTGTGTGCTGATACATCCATTCTTTCTAATGCTGAGTACTATTTCTTTCTGTGGCTCTATCACATTTTATTGGCTCATTCCTCAGCCAATGGTCATCTGGGTGGTTCTCCCTTTCAGGCTGTTGTGAGTATGTGCTGTGGCAATCTGTGTGCCGTGTGTTTTCGTGTGAACTCATGTCTTCATTTCTCTGGAGTGTGTGCATACCGGTGGTATCCCCAGGTCATGCGGAAACTGTGTTGAGCACTGAGAAACTTCCGGGCTGGTCTGCACAGTGCTTCCCTGCTGAAGTGCAAGGCTTGTCTTCACTGTGACAGCATTGGGAAGAAGGACAAACCAGAGTCTGAGTGCCCAGCGTGCTTTCAGAGGAGGCAGTTATGAAGGAGTCTAAAGGTGTCCTCCTCATCGTTGAGCCTTTGATGATTCCAGTGGGAGTTTTTTCTGCAGGCTCTGAGGGTTACTCCTGTGAGTGCTGCTTCCACCATCTGTGTTTGGGCTGGGAGGCCATGGAATAGGGAAGGTGATGGACGAAATGATGGCAAGGGGCTCCTGGAAGAGGTTGGGCAGGGTCTGAAGCCTAGAATAGGGGAGGAAGGCAGGAGGGCAGGAGCCTGGGAGAGAAGATGGTGCTAGGGTCCATGAATGTGCGTGGGGAGTTCCTGGAGAGCTCTGGCAGGTAACACTGGCCTGTCTTTGTCCTTTGACTGCAGACCTGGCCGAGTGCAAGCTGGTTTCCTTCCCCATTGGCATCTACAAGGTCCTGCGGAATGTCTCGGACCAGATCCACCTCATCACACTGGCTAACAACGAACTCAAGTCCCTCACCAGCAAGTTCATGACCACGTTCAGTCAGCTCCGAGGTAGGTCCTGCTCACCTCAGCTAAGAGGGTGTGGCTCTGACCCTGTGTGGGGAATGTCACCAGCACCAATGTCTTTGTTCGTCACTTGGACTCATGGAGCCATTTCCAGGGTGGGATTTGCAGATGGCTCTGTGTTCTCCACGTAGCCTGGATACCTCTGGTTCAGCTTCTGCCTCCAAGTAGCTGTGAATCTAACTGACCAAAGGTCAGGACTACGTCTGGGTCCTGGATTGCTTCTCTTGTCTGAAGAGGCCAACAGCGTGTTTGATCATGAGGCCCATGGATGGTTGACTCTTGGTAGCCTTGAACAAGCTCCTTCTCACCTTCAATCTAGCATTCTGTGCTGCTTTCTCAGCTTAGGAGTGAGCCACGCCAGGGACACTGGCACTTTCTCTGAACACACACAGAACAGGTAGATGTAGGTGCCTGGCACAGACATAGGCGAGAGGTCAGCAGGTAGGCATTGTGGAGTCTGTTGAAATGGTTCTTCTGGATGTACAGCAGTGCCTGCTCCCTTCTCTATACATCAGTCACATCATCCTTCTGCCACCCATGAGGGAGCTGCAGCCTGGGCACTTGTGTGTGTGTTTGCAAAGTGATAGGACAGGAGAAATGCAGAGGGCACAGGAAGTAATAGAAATATTTCCTGCCTTTTGGCATTTCCTATCCGATGGGGTAGGAAGAGGATCTAAGATCCTGTTTAGAGAAAAAAAATCACGAAATGCTGATGGTGCATGAGCCACCTGAGCAAGCCTGTCACAGACAGCTGATTTTAGGCTGGGCATATGTCTTAGGTAGTTTCTTTGTCACTGGGACAGGATACCCGGCACCCACAATTTAAGGAAGGAGAGGTTTATTTTGGCTCACAGTTTGTAGAGATTTCAGCCCATAGTTGGTTGGCTCCAAGGCAGGGTGGCATGGCAGAGGAGAAAGAGCTCATGGTGCAGCAGTTGAAGCAGCAAGTAATCAAGCAGGGAGGAGGGAGATAGACCTTTCCAGGCCACACCCCGAGTGACCCACCTCCTCCTCCACCAGGCTCCACCTCCCAACATCACAGTTAGCTATAAACTCATTAGTGGACTAATCCACTCGTGAATATCCTACACCTATGATCCAGTCACCTCCCCGAAGCCCCACTTATGAGCACTTGAGGCTTTGGGGGGGCATCAAGATATAAACCACAACCTTAAAGAGATGTGTGCATGGGGGAGAACCTGGATAGGAGAGAGGCATGAATTGGCAAGGAAGGAAGGAGCCCAGGCGTGGCCTGGAAGGGCCACCAGCCAGGTGCCTGGCACACAAAAGGGCAAGGAGGGACAGGTCTGGGTGTTCATTTCTGAGTGATACTCATAAGCTGAAGTCCTATCACTGGGGAGTGGTGGGGGTGAAGTTTGTTTCTCCAAAGGCACCTATGGGTGCTCTATCCTGGCCTGCTTCTCCCTTCTTTCCTTACCTGGCAGCCGCTTCTTCACACAGGTAAGGTGGTTCCCCATAGCAGCTAGTTCCTTGGACCAGTAGCTCACAGCCCTGGCTAACACTGGTATCATCTGAGGAGCTTTTCTACAAATGTTGTTGTCTTGGCTCTACGATGAGAGCAGATTAAGAAGAACATCTGTGTGCAGGCCTAGGCCTAGACATTTGTCCGTACCTGCACCAATCATTCTAGAGTGCTGGCAGCCAAGGTTGGGAACTAGAGATGAGAGGTTATAAACACAAATGCCTTGGAGCCTAGCCTGTAAGTAATGAGAGAGATTGGGTCTATAGCAATAGGGGGTGGTAAGGACTGTGGCAAACTTGTGCATGCCCTGCTGAGCTCACCTCCTCAGGTGTACCACAAGAGAAAGTGAACCACTCTTCTGATTGTTTAACAGAAGCTGAAAATAAGTAAGTTTTACATAATATGAAAGTCAATAAAACACATTTGCAATGTAGATTTACCCCATGGTCCACCGATTGAGAGGATCTCCTGTAAATTATCAGCATTGTCCCAACCATCACATTCTATAGATGAAGAGGTACAGTCAGGGAAGGAAGGACTTGTCCAGGGTCTCAGAGCAGCACATCTGGGGCCTGGACCCAGGTTCCTACCATGAAGGTCAGGATGGGGCAGTTTGTTTAGGCCACCTGTGTCAGCTCAAGGGTCCTTGAGTGCTGTATGCAGCAAACTGGGATTGGAGGTTTTCTTTCCAGAGAGGAATAAGATTGAAAATGGATGACAGGGCTTATCAGAAGTCCCCGGGAAGGGGAGTCAGACAGGGACTTCCTTTGGGTCTTGGCTTTCTTCCTTTACACCATCCCTTCAGCATTTGCGTCTTCCAGTCCTGTGCCTAGAGGCAGGAAAGAAGGCCAATAAGAGCTGGATGTGGTGTCACATGCCAGTAATCCCAGCACTCCTGAGAGACTGAGGCAGGAAGATCACAAGCTCAAGCCCAGCCTAGGCAATTTAGCAACTTGGTGAGACCCTCTCTCAAAATAAGAAAACACAAAAAGGGCTGGGGATGTAGCTCAGTGTGGAGTTCAATTACCCATAGAAGAAAAGGGGAGGGGGGTGTCCAATATACTGGGTTTTGCCCCTCAAGGAGCCCAGGTTTGCAGAATAGACCCACTCTTACCATTGAGGGTTGGGATAATGGTGTGGACAAATTGCTACTCAGCAGAGGAATTAGTGCTTCCCAAGCAAGAGTGTATGGCTGGGAGTGAGTATGGAGGCAAGAGCTTTCAAAGGACTCGATAACAGGCAGTGCCTTTTGGAATGAGTGAGTGGGCTCTCACAGGAGGCCTGGTGAAAGAGCAGAGAAATGCCCCAGAGAGCTGGGCTGCAGAGATGTATTTGTCATGATGCCTCGCAGTCAGAAGTCTGTTAGATGATGCTGTTTGAATTCCTTCCTGCTGCTCCCTTGCCCTTGGGGTTCTAAAGGGAAAGCCAATATACTTGCTAGTTGGATTTCACACAGTGGATTGAAGGCTGGGGTGGCCTGGTAAGTAAGTGCTGGAATGGAGCTCTCCATCTGGCTCTTAGAGAGATGGCTCTAGACCCAAGTCTTTGTTCTGATTTCTCTTTCAACAGAAAATTTCTTCTTTTATATGTGAAGAGGAGGCTCTGAGAGGTCTACTCTCTCCTCTTCTGGGTTATTTGCTTGTTTGTTTGCAATATTGGGGATTGAAACTAGGGCCTGGTACATGCTAGGCAAGTGCTCACTGCTAAGCTGTAGCCTCAATCTTTATTATTTTTAATTTTTTAATGTTTTACTTTGTGTTATGGTTTATATCTAGTTGTCTTCCTGAAGCCTCATGTGCTCATAGATGGGGCTTTTGGGAAGTGATTGATCATGAGACACTATACTTGTCAGTGAATTAGTCCACTGATACCAATACAGTTTATCTTGTGCCGTGCAGGAATTAGTTATTTGGGATTCAGTCCATAGTATTCAGCCATCCAGGCACTCAGAGGCCTCTGCAGCCATAACCCAAGTGGGCCTGGCTGCTGTTTGAGCTAGTGGCAGACACTGGCATCATCTACATGGTGCTGGTTTTAGGTTCATGCAGAATGGAAGTGTTGTGGGGTCAGGGAGGCTTCTACTCATATTTCAGCAGAAGGTATGGGAGGCAAGGCAATGTGCCCCTGAGAGGGCAGTGTGTGAAGCTGTGAGAGTGAAGCTGAAAGTGCAGTGGAGACCCCAGGAAGTTGGAGAAGCCAAGAACATAGAATGTCTGAAGAAAGCTTCAAGAAGTGAGCAGAGCCAGCCCAAGAGAGAAGCTGTGGGAGCTCAACCACTGGGAGTGACATAGGGACAGGGTTGCCCAAGGCCTTTGGTGTTCACATTTCAACACAGCTTTCCCTGGATGCTGAACATGGAACTATGGGATGTAATGTTTGCCCTGTTGGATTGAGGTCTTGCTTTGGTCCCATTTCTATCTCCCTCTTTCCTTTTGGAATGGAAATGTTTATCTTATGCCATTGTTATGTTGGCAGTGTTCTAACTTTCTTTTTTATTTTTATAGGGGCTTACCTCTAAGAGTTTGCCTTAAATTTCAAAGGGAAATTTGGACTTGGACTTTTCAGCAAGGCTAGAACTGTTAAGACTCTGGCAACTCTTAGATATGGATAAATGCCTTTTACATAAAGAGATGGGCATGAGTCTTTCAGGGGGCAGAGACGGTATGTTATGGTTTATATCTAGATGTTTCCCCAAAGCCTCATGCACTCCTAGGTGGGGCTTGGGAGGTAATTGGATCTCAGGGGCCATGATACTCATCAGTGGATTGGTCCACTGATAAGTTTATAGCTAAATGTGCTTTTAGAAGTTGGCTAAAGGTAGCTTTAGAAAGTAGCTAAATGTGCTTTTATCAGAAGAGGTAGATGGGCCCAGGGATTTAGCTCAGTGGTTCGGTGGCCTGCCTCGCAAGTGCAAGGACTGGAGTTCGATCCCCGGTACCACAAAAAAAAAAAGAAGAAGAGGTAGGTCACTGCAGTGGTGGCCTGGAAGGGTATATCTCTCCTCCTGGCTTCTCTCTTCCCTCTGATTCCTGGATGCCATGCTATAAGCAGCTATTCCTCCACCATGCCCCTGGACCATGCTGTCCTGCCTTGAAGCCTGTTGACTAGAGACTGAAATGTGATCCAAACTAAACCTCTCCTCCTTTAAGTTGCAGGTGTTGGGTGTTTTGTCCCAGTGATGATGAAAGTGACTAGGACACTTTGAGATGGGATCTTACTGAGTTGCCCAGGGTGGCCTCAAATTTGGAACTCTCCTGCCTCGGCTCTTGAACAGTTAGAGTAACAGACTTCTACCACCATCCCTGGCCTTTTCTGAGTCCTTGATGGAAGTGGGCTACCTTGTTGCCATGCTGGTGCCAGAAGAGAAAATAATCTGCTTGTCTCTGCCTGTCTTGTTGTCTCTTGGGGGTTCCATGGGGGCTTACTTCTGTGAGGGTCACGGTCCTCAGGGTTGGGTCAGTCATCTTTAGGTGGTTCCATATTCTTGGTGCCCTTTGTCCAT